GTAAGTCCTGCGGTCTCTTCTGTCTTCCTGGTAAGCCTAGGTGTGCAGGGCAAGACCTCCGGAGGCAGAATGGCAAACCCGAGAGCCTTCTTCCTGCCTTCTGGCACTTTTACTAGTCAAGCTGCCTGCAGTGGTGTAGAGGGAATTATTTTTTATTCCCCCCACCCACCCACCCTTGCCCTTCCCAAGCTTGTCACGTTATTTTTCCCTGTGCTCTGCACATCCCAGGCCGATCTCGTGAACTGGAAATGACCGTGTGGCTGAACAATTCCAATGGCCTCAGGGTTAAAAAGCTGGAGGGTGAAACTGGTTGTGAAGTGGAAAATGAGGTGACTGGGGGCAGGGAGATGATTAATAGTACGGGGTTTCCACACTGACTTTTGACCATTGCCCATACTGCTGACCCTCTTGGTGACATGGGAGGAAATTTCTCTCCTTTCATGTGTTACATTTATCACATTTCTACTGATTCCTTTTGTAGTGCGATGGTAGCTGAAAGTTAAACCAGTATTCAGCTCTGGTGTTCAGGCAGGGTCTGGTGCATTTTACTAGCAGGTACGAAGAACCGTGCTCCTTCTGTGCTGACTGAATCCCCTATAAGAGCCTGGGTAAACTGATTCCTGAGCTGAGGAGTCACTCACATTTGAAATACAGAAATACCGTTTCATTTGTCTGCATTATTTGCACTGAATGAACAAAGCTGCAAACACTTTACTTTCATTTCTATCTATACCTGAAAGTCTTCATGTTGATTAATTGCTTTCTATTCTCAGAAGACTTTTCAGATAGAAATATATAAAGTCTCTGAAGTGTTTTGAATTCTAATCTGGATCTACTAACATCTGGGACATCAGCTAATTCTGGTCTAAACCCAAAAAATAACATGATATTCTGGTATAAATTTAACTTTATGAGAATTACAACTGGATATGGGCACGCCAAGAAAATATATTCATATTTATTTTGGATGTAGCATTTAGTGTCAGCACTGTCTCCAGTGTCGATCAAAACTGGCAGATATAGCCAAAGCTAGAAGTCTCATGATTGCATTTAGCGGTTGGTTCAGTCATTTTTCCCCTTCTAAGTTCTAAGGACTTTGTAGATCCCATTATCTTCACTGGAAGTTGTTTGATACTTAACACTGAAAATCAAGCTGCTCTTTAAGACGCATCTGTATGCATTTAAGAATGAAGTTTTGAAAATCTCAGCTTGGTTTAATAAAGTGGCTGCCTCCTGGTTTTCAAGTTCCTAAAGTAAGAATATTGCACCTGAAAGTATCTGATTTCCAACTTCTTCATATGCCAAAGGGGTAAAAGAACTGGTTTTATATAAACATATAAATATGGTTTATATAACCATACAAATTCTTTATCTGATATGAAAAGGACCAATAGCTGGGGGAAAGGAGGAGTCAAAGAACTTAGCGGATGAAGATGGTTAAGAATTACAAAAAAAGGCACATGAAATGGCAAGTCTAGTAGCAAGGATTTAAAGCCAGTCTGTCAAAATAAAGTTGATATTGTAATTAATAAATTACAGATGAACTCCTTATGTTTAGGAGAATGAGGGAGAAGGAATGATGCATTTAACAGTAAATGAGAATTCAGAGTAAATTTGAAGTTGTAAATGAAGTTGTAATTTAGGGGTAAATGTGAGATGTGATGCAACGTATTTATCTGAAAATGGGTAAGGTTTTTGCTAGAGAGAAGAAAAGCCATAATGCTAATCTCTAGCCTTTGGAAATCATTTGATATGATGACACATGGGGAAGTTATTAGCTTAAGTGGAAGAGATGGGGGTTAATAGCAGAATAAGATAGACGAAATGACAGAAGAGAATGTGGCAACGCTGTGCTGAAGGGTGGGCTGTTAGAAGGTAGGTATTTTACTGCAAGAGCTGACTGACCCAGGAGATTAGTAAGGGTGGGATAAACTCTAATGACACAAAGTAAAATCGCACATTAGAAGTAGTAATAAAGCGGGCAAGAAGTCTGGGAGAGCACTATTTAGAAACAGCAGAGTTGGAAAAGATCTGGATGTACCAATCAATCATAGAGTAACCATGGGCCTGTTAAATTTTGCAATGGACTGTAGTACAGAGAGCCTTGATCTTGTGGAGATCTGGCACAGTCCTGTGCTTTGTTCATCTGTTCCAGTATCATTGCAATGGGTCCCGTGCACTCCCCTGTCTGGCATTTGCAAAGGCAAAGCCAGCTGAGATTCCTCTGCTCCAGTTGTATTGGCTTGTCTGTGAAGGTCGTCCACCAGTGTAATGTGGTTGTAAAAAAGGCAAATGTAACCAGGTGAGGTATTGCCTGGGAGAGTGGAAAGTACTAAATGCCTGTACACAAGGCTTTGGTGAGGCTGTACGTTGCCTTCCAGGTGTAGTTGTGGTCACCCATGTCTGTGAAAGGGAGTGAGAAAGATATATGGTGTGCACTAAAGCTGGAACAGGTGCAGAGGGGGAGTGGTGAGCTTTTCGTATGAGACCAAAAGAGCCCCTTATCTCTAGCCTTGCAAAATGAGGCTTTTAAGGAGAAGCATTTGATATCTATAAATATAGCAAGGAGTAAATATGAGGGAGGGAAAAAACTAGCTAAGCTGAAGGGCAATATTCTACAAGAATGAACAGATACAAGCTGATTATGATTATATTTATGCTGGTAATTAGAAGGTGGCTCATTAGAGGGGTGAGGTTTTAGAACAACAGGAATAGAGGGAGCAAAACTGCCTGCACAGTTCTAGGGAAGGGCTGTGTTCATTTATGAAAGGGATTATATGATGCAGTTGTCTGCAGTGAGAAGGAATGAGACTTAATGATTCAGGACATCTATCCCAGTCCTAGACTTCCTATTCAGAATGGGGTATTTTAGTTCAACTGGAAGTTATGGACTGTCTGAGGAAATTACTTTTGCTCTGGCCTAGGCTGTGGGGTAAATCAGATTCATTTTACTTTGTGCCATTAGAGTTTATCCCGTTCATTCATATGTCCTCTTTGGACTTAAAGTCTATGAATAAAGACTAAAACGTTATACTTACACTATTACCTATAAAGACTAAAACGTATACTTACATTATTACCTATTCTTAGGGTAATTTGAATGTCAGTCTCTTACATGCGAAATAGGAGCCAGATGTCCTGACATGTGGGTGCAACTAGAGGGACATCTTAAGCCTTCCCACCCTGCAAAGGCAGATGTAAAGGCAACTAGGCTGAGTGACTGCACTGCTCTTTCCCAAGTCTTGGTCTGTTACTTTGTTCCCAGTTCAGGAAAGCACTGAGTTCGCCTGTAAGCAGGTGAGAAGTTCCTTTCAGTGTGGGTTTCAGTGTTTTGACAAAGCTGATGAACTAATAACTGTTCTTGCTTTGTAAACATTTGTTATTGTAGGGTAATACAGCTGGCTGCTGGACTGCACACACTGAGTTGATATTATAAACCTTTTTCTGAGTGCTTACAAACACCTGAATTTGATTAAGGACACTTATTACCTACATTTTACATATCTTTTAAAATCAGCACAAAGTATCTGAAATGTCTAAACAGGAGTAAGAAAATAAGACAACTTCAAAACCCATAGCTTTTCCACTTGTGGAGTTGTGTATATCTCTTGATGTCTGCAAGGATTTTAGTAGACCCTTGTGTTTTGTCTTCAGTCCTAGCTTATTCCGGGCTGGGATCTTTTTCTGTTTTAACGGAGTGATTGTTTACATACTGTGGTACAGCTACTCTTCTACTCTTATTGTGGACTGACTGTATCCAGTAGTTAGGGATTGGGAATACTGTTGCATCCTCTTAATACAGTCTGTTTGAGATAAGGCCCTGGTGCCCCAAGTTAATAATGAGTGTGTTACCTGAGTTACTTTTAAGAGGTTTTAGTGACTTGAGAGTTTACAGCTATACTGGTACAGAGGAGGCAGGAGTAAAAATACTCCTAGTCTATAGGTAGATGTTGAGAAAGGCTGTAAGGATGGCAGTAAAGCTATTTGTGGAATATACAGTATGATGCATTACTAAATTATTTACTCTAGAGGTAAAAGTTTTCTTGAATATTTATCTGTTAGTCATTAAAAGTGACCTCTGGCAGAGGGCAATATCAGTAACTTGGGATAGAACAATTTCATCTTCTGCTTGCAGAAGAAATGGCCTTTGTTACCAGTCCTGTAAGACGGACCAAGGAAGACTAGGCACAAGAGGTGAAAAGTTTGCCCATCTAAAATACATATTTTTTCCTTCTCTTTTGTAGGATTTTTAGAGCACCTCAGATGACATCCCAAGCGGATGATTAACTTCACAATGGCAGAACTCACAGTGGAGAACGGCAACTGTATGGACTGGCAAAAGCGATGCCTTGCTTTGGAGTCCCAGCTCTTCAAATTCCGCTTGCAGGCAAGCAAGATCCGAGAGCTGTTAGCTGAGAAGGTGAGGCAGTGGTGGCGGCTTCTACTTTGCACTGAATTATGGCATGAAAGCAAAAAAAATCCCTAAATGCTGAGCCATCCAATAAAACTGTTACTTGCAGTGGGGATCTCTTCCTTGATTACAGTATGTCATTGCACTCTGCTTATCACTTGAGATACAGAGATGTGCCTGTCAGAGTCATGTAAAGTGGTATTAGTGAAAATAAGAATTTGGCCTTTTTTACTGGAAAATCACCACATAGTTGGATTCTACTGGAAAACATTGTACCAGCAATATTCTAAATACATAAAGTGACTGAGGCAGCTGCAGAGCAAAGATAGATATTCTGGATAAGAACAGCAGGATCAGGACTTGACTGGCAATAGAAAATCTTACAAATTATGCTGTAATGTTAAAGGACTGGACAGGGGTACATGTACTGCCATAGTATTAGAATAACATTGCATATCCAGTCAAAAGATTCTGGGGATACTGAAGAGCAGGACTGAGATACTTTGAGCTCTGAATGTTAGAAGCTTGTGTGGCCTCTGTCTGGTTTTAGAGGCATCTCCTACTAATCCTTTTCAAGCGCACTAAGTGAACTCATTTGAAATCCTGGGGGAGAGGACTGGCAAAGATTTGAGGGGTTTGTTGGTTTGTTGGGTTTTTTCTTCTATCACGATGTGGGGTTTTGGTGTTTTTTCTTTACCTTAAATTGAATTATTTTTCAATTTGAATAAAAGCTTTTTCAATAACCTCTAATTTGCATAAAATCCAAGTTTGTAGGTTGCTGTGGGGTTCCTTCTTTGTTTCAAAATTTGGCTTATATTATCACAGTCTGGCTGAAGATTGCTCAGATACCCAATTACTATTGGAAAGTGAAAACAGTTTCTTTCAGTCACTGTTTGCTGATGAAGTTGAAATTTTTACAACTCACTGCAGTTTACTCCAAATGCTTTTAAGCTGTACCTGATGACAGATGTATTCTAATCTAACTTTTGCTCCATTTTCTATTATGTAACTTTTATGTGTATATTCTTATTTGTTGGTTTTGGATGTAAAAACATCCACATGACATCTACTTCAGAGTAGAGCAAGTTTCATCCTTGCTTTCACTGTAATTACATTTGCACTAATGCCATATACTGCATGAAACATTCATTCCACCCTTCATATTTTAAGAAATTACGCAATTCTGAGCACCCTCTTCATCTTTTCAAGGTAGCTTCTGTGATGGACTGTAGTGATGACTTACCTTGGAAAACATTGAAAGTGGTCGTAAGGTCCATTTAGATAAAGGCACATTAAAAAAAAAACCTCATGTATAGATGTGGTGCAGGTCTGGTAAAGACAACCAGTATTCATGCGTGATACTCCACATTTGCTGCATTATGGAATCTGTGGCCTCGTGCTTTATTAATTCCTGCTTTGAGAAACTTCCTGGTTACCCACACACAAAGCAAAGAAACCTACCTATCAAACTTCCTTTTTGGAGAACACCTGCCAGAGATCTTCTGACCGTCTCTTTAGGGAGGCTTGTGGAGCATGGCAGAGAACGAGATTGTCACCTGCTTCAGGGGTCTCCTCCAGGAAGGGGCCTGACTGCCATTAATCCAGCCTTTCAGTCAAAGCGATGTTCCCTTTGTTAAGATTAAGGAGCAGCTTGGTTCAGTGATCAGGTTACTCTGTAACTACTTGTACAGCGCTGTCCTTGTAGGCTTACTTGAAGGGTCAAAGAGCTAGCAGGCTTGCAGTTCCCTACTCTGAATGTCGTGTGGGAAGGGGAGAGCCTCAGGGACTGTGGGGCAGCTCTGGCAGGACCTCCTGACGCAGGGGGACTCGAGGCACCGAAGCAGTGCTCAGCATGCAACGCTCGTGCTGAATGCTGTGGGGAAGTGTCCTGTGCCTCAAGTTCCCGACTGCTCTACAGCAGCTTGCTCGGAGACCCTCCTTCCCTCCTCCTGAGTTGCCACAGGGCTCCCCGGCAGTCACAGCATCCGGGGCTCCTGTCCACACTGCATCCTTCTCCCCCTCAGATGGGCAGTGATGCAGAACTGAAGGAGGCACATGCTTTATGCACAGTGATGCCAACTCCAGGGATTTTTGTCATCTATTTTATAGCAACTGTGATTTTTTTTTTTTTCCTTATGGTTCTATTTGTGAGAACAAAGAGATTCAGAGTTATTTGAATGAGTACTGCATTTTCAAAAAGTTTTTTTTGGGGGTGCAGGGGAGAAGATCTTGAAAAATGTGAAGTGGGCACTTTGAAGCTGTGTTGCCAATCTGTGGTGAACATTGCCCCTGAGATGCTCTGATATAGCTTGCAGCAATGGGAAAATTAATTAATTTAAAAAAAAGTGGTTTTGCCAGGGAAAGTGAAGAACAATGTTAACAGCGGTGTGATGCTTGCTCACCAGTTAGGCTGTCTCAGGGGTCTGGAAGCTACTGATTGAAAGGCTTGGAAACCTGATCCCACATGTTTTAAATCAGTCTTTATAACCAATTTTCTGATTTTCATTTTTAAGGCAGATTTTACTATTTTAACTCACAAAGAAAACCCCAATCATTCATGCCTGGCACTGGTTATACGATGTGTGCTAACAGTTTAAATACTTCAGATTTTTAAAATCCGCTTAGATTGAATAATCTACATTGCTGTTCAGAACATGAGGAATTTAAAACCCAGCGGTTTAACTGCCAGTGCCCTAGTTCACATGGTGCAAACTTCCACATTGGTAGCCCAGTCTCAGCTATCGAGCAGTGCCGCCCAAGCTGTGCTGAGCCTGGTAGAGGGACCTCAGCCCCCCAAGACAAAGCTCTGCCATTCTGCTGGACCTCCACAGGGCATGAGACCTCTGGGTCCTGCCTTGTTGTGGACATCAGCAGGGATCTGGTCTCTCTGGAACAAGGCTGTTGTTTCCACTCTTTCTAGTACGCACACAAAGAAAGGAATATTCCTCTGTTGGTGAGCGACATAGCAGTCTGTTGCCTTGGTAGCAAGATGACCTCGTAGGAGTGAGCTCTGGAAGAGAACAACAGGAGGAAAATGAGGCTGAGACATGGGGGAACTTTTTTTCACTCAATGTTATTTAGCTGTTCTGAGCCATCAGGAGAGGGAAGGCCTGTGTGAATGGTTGATAGGAGGATCTTTTGCAGCTTTTAGAAGGGCCATCTGGGTAGCTTTTAACCTGCTTCTGTCTTACTTCAACAAACACTTGGAAAAAGCTTCTTTTGTCTCATGCAAGCATCGCTATACAGCTGGGCCCGTTTCCCTCCATACAAGCTTTCTGGGCCAATGTTTGGGAGAAGAGTTACTTGAATTTGGCTTGGTCACTAAGTTTTTTTATGTGACCTGGGTCAAGTTACTTAGTAGCATTTGTCAAATTATAAAGCATTTTGAATGAAAGGACCCATGTAAATACCAAGCATTATTATTAATTCATTGAGGGATTTGAAAGAGCCTTACATCCATGCTTGTATTAAATCTGAATGCGCTCCAGTGAGACAGCTGACACTGGGGATGGGTGAAGTAATCATTTTGTGTATATGAGAAACACAGCAGTTATTTAACAGGTCGTAGTAGGACAACCCAACAATGTAGTACAGGAAGTTAAGAAAAGTACAAGTTCATATAAGGCTACAGAGGGAATCAGGGTGACAAAAGTAACTGATTTGACTGGAACTTAGCCAGGTCACCCTGCTTGCACAAGAACTTTCATAACTTCTCTGTAGTGGTAAGGAATAGTCTCAACATACATTCTCTGTCCTGATCAGGAACCAGGACTGCTAGCAATGCAAAGCAAACTGTCATGAGGCTGGGACAACAACAGGTTTTTCAGACAGAACAGCACTGTCTTCTTAAAATAACCTCAGTCCTTCCTGGAGATTGCTCACCTTGTGGAGGATCGAATTATTAGTCTGAGAGGATAGCCTTTGGGAAAAAGCCCAGGGATTCATCTAAAGTCTGTGCTGTGAACATAGACCCTGTCAATCATCAGAAAATTAGCAGAGGCCATTGACTCTGAAGCTACTGTCATAAACAGTCTTTGTTTCACAAGGTGTATTATGTCTCCAGTTAGCATCTGTCTTTCACTAATATATTTTGCTGCTCCCTGTCTGCAGTGATGACTATCCAGAGACTAATAGATAAATGCATGGGTAGATCACTGTTCCTAATGGATGCAGACTCATGTTGTAACCCAGACCACTGCTGTCAGTGTTAGATTGCCTTGAGCTCAGTCTCTAACAAGACTCTCAGAGACTGGATCTTCAGTCAGAGCAGCTTTAGCTGCAATCTTCTGTGGCTTCTCTCTGTTCCTCTGCCAAGGAAATGTCCTTGATTTGGATATTAAGCTCCATAGACTGTGATGTCCTTGATTGCTCCACTGAAAAAGCAAACCTGAGAGGTGTCATTCTAAATGTGGCACTTCCTGATCTTCATGGTTTGAATTTGTTATGGCATGACTTTTTTAGTTATATGACCGTTGAGGTGTCTACATATATGTACCTTTCTAATATGTTTGTTAATAGGCATCAGTCTGCTCTTATAATCAATGTGTATGTATGAAAAGGAGAGTTGTCTTGTTGCCATCTGAATGAAGGGAAATGGAAACACAGGAATGCTGGCATCTCCATTCTGGGTGATCAACCCAAGAGGAGTAAGTCTCACTTTCAGAAGTGTTGGTTTGGTCCTCATAGTGACCAACCTGAATGCTTGGCTCCAGTGCTTTATCAAGAATCATAAAATGCATTGGAGAGAAAAGGAGCTCAGTTTCCCTTATAGTTTGTTTTCTACTTGAAGCATGATTCTTTTAATCTTCTGAAGCTGCTTCTACATCATTCCTTCATTAGTAAACACAAGTAAATGCTGGAAAGTCTGTGAAGCATTCCTCAAATTTTGCAGCTTAGTGGATGAAACTTAGTGTTACTGACTTCATATTAAATCTGGGCTTAAATCTGAGACCCACTGAAGCAGGGTAGGTGGTGGAAGATGATCTTGCAAGCACTGAATGAGATCCTAAGTTGCTATTTAAAAAAAAAAAAGGCTGGGGTCTAGTGGCAAGTTGTTAGAGATACATCTGCATTTCACTGAGAATGAAGTGGTTTGTATACATTTAGAATAAAATTCTGTTCAGTGTTCTTTGACTTCAATAGCAGCAATGGTCAGGTAAAGAATCACAGAATTGTCAGTTTGCAAAGCTCTTTAAAATGAAAGGCATAGGAAAATTAAGATCATTGTTAATCTTGTCAGTTATGAGCCTGTGATGCTTTTGAAGCCAAAGCAAAGTATTCATTGGTTATAATATGGCATTGTAGAGAACCTGCTGTGAGCTTTCCAAGATGAATTCATTTTTGTTTACCATTGTGAATGAATCCTAGCTGAAATAAAACCAGGAAATAATAGCACACTGCAGACAGGCTTCTTGCAGGGACAGCCCGTGGTGTGTAAATTGTAGAGATGGGGTCAAGACTTTGGGACTATTTCCTTGACCCGTGTAATGAATGATGAAGCTCACTAATGAGAAAACAGTTCCGGTAAATTCAAAGTAGGGCAGAAGGCTGGAAAAGGTCAAAGGCTTTCCCCCACCCCCCCCCCCCGCCACCCGCGCTACGACAACACAAAAAACAAAC